TATTTATTGAATTTAATGATTCACTGCCTCTCGTAGGATCTTCAGAAATGTCAGTCAAATGTCCCACCCCCCGGGATAACACTGATGTTCAAATTCCCTTCGGAGGCGATAAGCGCTCGAGTCAAATCCTCAGCCTTTGCCCGCACCAATATTGTTTTATCTAATATCTAGTACTTTTTAGTCACCAATCACGTCTTGAATATTGTAATTATTATTATGTAATTTTTGTCCAGACTTGTCTAGATCAAAATTTCACTTAAAAGGGGAAAGGTCTATTGACTTCTCTGTAGCTCAGTTGGTTAGAGCGCTGCACCGGAATCGCAGAGCCACAGGTTCGATACCTGCCAGAGGGTCTATAGTTGCATTTCTTGCAGGTGTTCCTGGTTTGGTCAGTAATAAATGTATATAAATATCCACTCGATAATTTGCATCTACAAGATCCTTCAACTATTATTCAATCGAGTGAGATTGCCAACAAAATCTTGAAATTATATTCAAACACTCATTAATGATTCATAAGCTTATTGGCAAATCACGTGAAGAGGCTTCATATACACGCGGAAAAAACGCACAGCTTGTAACAAGTCTGCAAACAAGTTGTTACAAGTCTGTTCACAAGCTGTCAACAAGTTGTGTTCGTACTGCTTGTTCCCAGTTTGTTGCAACAAATTTGGAACAAGCTGTTAACAACTTGTAACAAGCTTGATGACATTATCAGGCTTGTTACAAGACTGTGTTAACAAGTTTGTTACAGCTGTGATATAACAAGGATATATGTAACGGACTTGTCAGAACAACCTTGCAACAAGTCTGATAATTTTGACAAGATTGTTACAAGTTGGCAACAAGTTGTTCCAAACCTGTTGACAACTTGTGACAAGCAGTGCGAATACATCTTGTCGACGGCTTGTTGGCAAACTTGTTACAAGATGTGAGATTTTTGTGTGTGTACCTGATAAAACTCATCTTCATTAGTAATATTTAACTAGAAATACATGCATGCAATAACCCCTCGCCTGTTTTCAAAAGATGTATACTCAGTGCCGTTGCTAGCACTTCGTCTCAGGGGGTGTGTGAGGTTAGATAGAGGGGGGGGTGGTTACCAAAATGTTTCCAGATGTACAAAAAATTTTCAGGACATATAATAATTTTTCCGAAATTGTATTTCATCTCCCAAAATTTTGTGCATCATACTATAGAGCATTTTGCTGTTGTCATGGTCTAGCGTGGTTCAAATTTATGAATTTTTATCATATAAAGTATAGTGTTTTATGTACTATTTAAAACACGAGTAGGAGTGCAGCCGAGCGTTATATATCTGATAAAACACGACAACGAGTGTTTTGAATAGCTTAAAATACGACTACAAAAAGACTACTAATTAGGATGAACCATAGTATAATCATGCTAATTAAGATGAACAATTATATAATGCCACATGTGTTTTATCAGATATAAAGTCACTCCACGTGACATATTATGGCTGACATGTTTGCCACAAGGTTTATGAATTATTAATGAGTATTTTAAAGAGATTTCGAGCACTGATAAAAATGATAATCTTACATGTGAAATTATTCATGATAATCTCACATGTGAAAATTATCGCCTTTTCAATTATCGCTTTTCTGTAAAAATTATCGCTTTTCAAAGACTGTCCTTTATATAATAAACAGAAAAATACATGGGTGGTTGGAAATACCAGATTTATTTTTCGTGTTGAACATGACATCCCACTCGTTCGATGCGCTCACTTGTTCGCTCCGCACTCATGTTCAACACTCGAAATAAATCTGGTATTTCGTGCACCCATGTATTATTCTCTATTTAAACTACAACTTGACTGGTTTAAATTATTATCAAGTTATCAGTGATAGTAAAAGTTGCAGATAGAAGTGTTTTGTTTTATATTATTATCAAGTTATCAGTGATCGCAAAACCTCCAAATCCTTAATTTCAAATGTTAGAATGTTAGGGTTTGTAATTCAAGTGAGAATATATAGATTTTAAGACCTAACCAGGAACGACTGCGAAAAATGCAGCACAAGGTCCTCTGGTAGGAATTGAACCTACGGGCCCGTGATTCTGGTGCAGCGCTCTAACCAACTGAGCTACAGAGGCCAGCTGTTGAGCTTTAACCGTAAGTTCATGTATATTTAGGTAATCGGGTGTGCGGGTTGTGATAAGGTGGACTTCAATAATTTGGATTCTTGCACTTCACTTGGTGGAATTAAAATTAGCATGTTAGGGTTTGTAATCCAAGTGAGAATATATATTACATAAACTTTGTATATTCTCACTTGGATTACAAACTATTCTCATTTGAATTACAAAATATATACACAAAATATATACACTGTCATGTACTATACATTAATTTTGTATATTCTCACTTGGTTACAAAATATTCTCACTTGGATTACAAAATATATACATGTATATATTCTCACTTGGATTACAAACCCTAACATTCTAATATTAATTCCACCAAGTGAAGTGCAAGAATCGAAATTATTAATTTCAAATGCCCCGCCGGGGCTAAGGTTCGAGTGGAAATACCCAACCCCCGGGATGTGCTTTGCAGGAAAATGGCTGGGCGAGGGGGATGGGCACACTTGGATTTGGCTGATGCATTAAAAGTCATGGAAAAAGAAAAAAACTTTTCATATTGCTACTATAAAATGGCTCATTGTGCTTATTCCTGTGCTTATTCCAAACTGCTTGTCAAATATTTACTTGCTAGAAGTAGAAATTTACTCTGACCACTGGATGAAGAAGACATTAAATAAGTACTGGTCAATAAATAGAAATGTATTTTATTTCATAGTATTACAATTTTATTTTTATACTATAAAAATAAAATATGAACATGCGGCATAGAATATGCAAATTCGAGGCAATATTATTGTTGATCGGTTTATTTATAGGATTTTATAACAAATAGCAACTATAAAAGTTTGTACCTTGTCTTCACATCGCTTTATTCTGTTAGCCAATGCTTTTAAATTTACATATTTTAGAATCAGTTCCTTTCCTGGTAACTGCATTTCTAAATGAAATCATCGTGAGTAGTGAGTGCTGAGCAGGCCGTTTTACTATAAACAAATTTTAGGAATTGACAACTTTGAAAAATATATCGTTGCACATTCGGTCACAGTCGGAAAAATGTTTGTACCGTCGCTTGCAACTAACGATGAACAGTTGCTCATAAAAACATTCGCGTGATTAGAATCTTCAATGTTTGTCAAGAACAACAACACTTAATTGTTGTTTCCCATGTGTACAGTGGACAATAATAAGTAACAAAACGTTGTGTGGTCTGAACGTGTTGGGCTAGAGACTTACTGGAAACTTTTACAGGCCTTTTAATGAGAATAGAGAATGTTTTATCTGCAACTGTTCACCCTTAGTTGCAACCGACGGTATTTGACAGCATAAAATTGCCTGTGGCTGTGATAACTGATATAAATAACTGACTTGAGCGTGTCATGACAAACTCTTTATTGGAAAATTGTGAAGAAATAGTCGAATATAGAGGGTCGAATATCATACTTAAACTTGTATAGCTACAGTATCATTGGTACATAGCGTTGTGAAGACAAACCTTTGCTTTAATACCTTTCGCTTCACCAGTCTTTTTTTTTCCATGCTTCTCTACGCTTTCCCAGGCGAGCTTCTCTTTCCTCAGCAGTCTCCTCGAGCAAACGTTGTCGTCTTCGCTGGCTCCCTCCTTTTCGCGAGACGTTCGGCTTTCTTGTCGTTTCCTTGCCGCTCTTCATTTGGCTCCATACAGTAGTCGATATCTTTTCAATTGGTATTTGATACCGTAATTGTTTTATTAAACTTTTTATAGAACAAATTGCTTTGAAAGCTGTCAAAGTTTTTTGCAAACGTACAAAATATTGCAGTGTAAAAAGCAAAATATTTTCATGAAGTATCTGTCAGTTGAAGTCGTCATTCGTCGTACAACAACAAATTTTAAATTTGACCAATCAGTGTTCGCTATTCATGACAGTCCGCCATATTTTTGAGATCAGTGAGGATGACCACCCACCGAAACACGCACAGTGACCCACGCCCGCGATATTTGATGAACTTCAGACTTCCCTAATGCTTTCGTTTCCCCGGGTGTAAATAGCCGGGGGGAATTAGTACCCTCGCACGGCGCTTCGCGCCGCCGGCTCGGGAACAAAATGGAAGACGAGTAAGCTTTAAACTTAAAATATTTGGTGTTACTACTGTATATGCAGGGCAAATGTTCCAATAACACAGTAGCACAACTCTTTGTGCCCCGCGGCTCAAATGGGCGAATCCTGGTCAAGTAAGTGCCTCAGCTAAACTGGTGAAGTTGTAATCTATCCTCCCGTCATTTTTAAATTGGCAGGGGATCCTCTTCTGTTATGGATGTTTTGGCACAAAATTATGTTAATGCAATAACACCATGTGCTGCCCATGGTACCGTCCTTGAAATTACTTGCAGTAATATAGCACCATGTATCTTAATTATAAGTATCAAAAGCTAACCAACTGCTATACACTGATGCATTGAAAGCCTGCCGAACTACGATGTTCCTGGCTGTAATATGCCTCGAACGTTAAGCACCTTGATGGTTTCTGTGTTTGTTCGTGTTATGTCCTCAGGTGAATATGATGTTGGTTAATATGGTACTCTGAGTGTGCATCCACGCCGGGCAAGCTGAACAGTTTGTCAACTATCACAGATAGATATCATCATATCTGAGAATAGATTGATGTCGAAGAAACTAGACTCTTTTCCGAAATACTACCAACTCGAGCCAACTTGACCTCGTAGCTCAGTTGGTAGAGCTTTGGTCTAGTTCCTTAAAGGTCGCAGGTTCCCACCGCGTGGTCTTGCAAACTTTTCAGCTAGCCCGGCGTGGATGCACACTCAGAGTAATATCACAAACATTTTATAACACCTTGATAACCTTAGAATAATAGGATAATTTTAGGTCATTTAAGCATGAAAGAAAGCTCACCTGAGTTGTCAGTATCTGCTACCAAAGCACCTTTTCCGTTAACACCGCCTGACCAAATAATACAGCTGTTTTTACACTGATTTTTTCTTCCGGATGTTCCTGTACTTGCATCACAGCGTGTTAACCTTGTTTGGAGATTTTCAATTCCACCTCCACCGCCAGCAATAATAACCGGGGTGTTCGATGACGTAGCTACGAATGTTCCGCCACCCCCTCCTGATGTTTGGCTGGCAGAATTTATACCACCCTCTTGTCCAACCAATATTTTCAATACATCTCCTTTGTTCAGTTCAAATTCTCCTCTCATGTAAGCACCCCGACCTCGCGCTGCTGATCCGAGTGTATCGTACCCTCCAGCCGCACCAACTGTTTTGATTTCGTATGTACCAGTGTGGGGAACTGTCCAATACTGTATACCATTCTGGACAGTCACCATGTTATCATGGTCTTTACCCACATAGTGAGAACCAAGTGATG